GTACGGCTCACTCGGTGTACGACGTATGCTGCCGAGCTGGACGCTCCACTTTTTCTTCTCACTCCTCCCAGCTACGGTTCGAACGAGGACTTGGCGAGAGCCATCGACACCTGTATGGGTTCATCCTATCCAGTCGGCAGCTACGTAGTGCCTTGTGTATTCCCTCCGCCGTTGCCGAGACTGGTCCGATAGGGCCTCCTGCCTGCTGGCGTGCCATGTCAGGATTGCTTGTTGTTGCAGCAAAGTTTCTGGCACAGCAGGCCACCCAGCGCATCGTTGCGTTTGTTTTCCTCCAACTAATGTTCCTCCATATCCATGTCCGTAACCCTTTTGTTCTCGACTCTTGAATCCTTTAGGACGTCGCGATGCCTGGTTGAGTCGTGTTTCTCAACAGGACCATTGTGCTCATCTGATCCTAGTTTTTGGTCTCTGCATCACTTCTCACACGGTAACGCACCTACGTGCAGACGCATGAAGAAGGCTTGTGACGCTTCTGTTCCTGTTCTCTCCAATCCTGACGCCTGAGTCCGGCTTCTCCTCTGAGCAACCTCACATACCGAGATACTGCCAACGGCATAGAATCACATGTACATCACGAGCAAACAACAGCGACAGCCATCGAAAGAGTTATGCGGCTCCTGAATGCCAGCATGCAGTCGGTGGCATGACCTTGCAAGAGGTCAACGAGAAGTAAGCAAGCTCCGTCCTCTGAGCAACCTCGCGCGCTGAGACACTACTTGTAGCATCGAGCCACGGCCACGCCTGCCGATATGAGCCAACAATAACGACAGCCGCCGACCAGCGACGCGGCAGCAGTCGAAGAAGATATTAGGCAGGGTGATTGGTGGCACATAAGCAAGTCCGCCCCTTCCGGCATTTCGCTGCAATCGCTGACCTGAAGACAGGAATCGACCACGGCATGGCACATGGCCCCAGCAGAAGAGGACAGCGGTAGAGGGCACAGTAGAGGGCAGCAGAATGAGGGCAGCAGTATGAAGGTCAAGCAAGGCCACTTTGAACACGCAAAGGGTGTCAATTTGCAATGGCTCGATGGCGTGTTCTTATTGCCGTGTGCTTGTACAGCGCGCTAGGTTTTTCAGAAGAATCAAGGGCCTCTGCACCCTTTCGTGTACCTAGAGGTCTGTTCGTATTTGAGGTCGCCAGTCTGGGTTCATTGAGGGAGCGTCTAGCCCGTAAGCACGAAAACCATCTTCCCATACATAAGTAGCTAGTGATGATGATAACAGTGATGATGTTGAGAGGGCTTCACTCCTTACGTGAACCCTGATTCATAACTTTGGCTATGCCTGAGAGCTCTGAATAGGTAGGGTTGGTGATGTAAGACTTGTGATGATTATTGACCCTCTCTAGCCGAATTGCCGCCATCTAATTGATTCACCGATCACTGACTTCACTGCTCCCACGAGCGCGTGACTTGGAACTCACGTCATCACCAGAGCGCTGAATCACAAACGGTGATCACCAGCCCAGACAATTCCCTATATTGGTTCAACAGATGGTCTATTCAACGCCGCTATCGATTCCACCTAGGCAAAAAGACGCCCGCGCCGGTAGGCCGTCCTTCGGCCGTTAAGATAGTGTCAGGTGGCCCTGCGGAGCTCCTAAGCAGGGGGTCGGGCAGGGGGCTAAGGGTTATGAGAATGTGAATATCAGGAGCTGCGGAGGGCCAGCATTCAGATGTATTCCGACCCCCTACCTATCATCATTGCCTGCGGACTCGGTGTGGAAGACCTCTTCACTCGGCTCTAAGCCACGCACTGACAGGCTATATTCTAGTCGTCCGCTAGTTCGTAGGATTGAATTTCGAGTCGTTCGGGGGGCAGTATGCTGCTGGAATGTGATTCGGTTCCTGTGGTTTCAGCGCCTCTAGGTTTGTTGTACTGGTCGGCTGCTTCTCGCGGACCGCGTCTTGCTGGCTTTGTGTGCCTGCTCTAGTCTTGGAATTTAGCTTCAACACTTTTCATGTAGTGCCTTCCCTTGCCTTGGCTGTACTCCTAGCGTTGCTCGTCATGAGTTGGCACCTCTATCCGCCTAGCAATGGTCCTCAAGGGGAAAGCTTTTGGTCGCGTCTAAGAGCCCAGTGGTTGTGTCTGAGAGTCCAGTGAAACCATGGCCCTCTCGCCGTTCCCCCTCTTTTGGGCGATTCAAGGAGCTGCCTAAGTGGAAGGTTGCAAAGTCGCTGCTATTGGGTGTTCAGTAGCGGCGATAGGTCAGTAGCGGTGATAGGTCAGTGGCGGTGATAAGTAAGGTGGCTAGTGTAGGCTGTCAACGATGGAGAGGGAAAGTTTACTACCCTTGCGGACACTGAACTGACGCGAAGGCTGGCAGGTTGGTTGTTGTTAGTGCTTGATTTGGAGCAGAGTGAAGAGGCCTTCCAGACGTGGTCTACAGGTGATGGATAATAGGTATGGGGGCGTATTACATCTGAATTCTGGCCCTCCGCAGCTTGGGGGGGGGGGGGGGGGGGCTCTAAGCTATGGGGGCTAGAAATTAGATACATTTCGACCCCCTACCTCTCTTCTATTGCCTGCGGACCACGTGTGGAAGACCTCTTCGCGCTGCTCTAAACCAAGCATTGACACCAGCCCCCTATGCCGTGGCTCCGCAGAGGTCTCCCGACAGTCGTCAGTACGCGGCATGTAGTGCATACACCATGATGAGTGTCCAGACGTGGAAACAACCCAAGGCTCGGTGAAGGGGCAACTTGTTGAAAGGGCCTGCTTGGAGGCACAAGTTGGTATTACTTCTGTATCCAGTCGAGGGTTGTACGCCACGTCAATTCAGAACCCAATCCAGCGTGTCCACGTCTTTGTTCACAGAGATTATCTTCTCGTAGACCAGGGCAGTTCATTAGAGAGAGTGGAAAAGCTTGACCCCTTACAGGAATTGGAACTGGCGCAAATGGGGTCTCACTCCAGGGTCAGGGACTGCCTTTAACAAGCGAGGAATTCCGCGTATTCCTGGTTCGGGGGGTGTGGTTGGTCACTAGCACTGGAAGCATCGTGTATACAACGTCATAGCTGATGCCACATGATTTGATTTCTCTAGCAACAAACAGAACCGGCCATCTTGTGATGCGTGCTAATTGATATTGTCTCAAGCAGGTGTTGTATCGTGTTTCAACGTCTGCTCCAACATCTGTCTGTGCAATGCAATGCCTCTCGCGAGGTGTGGATGGCCACGACAGGATCCGAAGATCGCTATGAGACCTCCGCCTCCATGACTATCGCAAGCAACAGACATGGTGGCGGATCAACGGCCCCGAAGGGTCGCATCATTTCCACATAAGCAGCTAAACTTCACAACCACAGCCCAAACTCGATGGTGCCTTGCGGCTCATGAGATGAGGTGGTGCCTTTCGGCCCGTTGGGTAAACAAGTAAGAACTTGCCACCCGCGGGAGGAAAGATGGTGCCATGCGGCCCAGAAGACTGCGCATTAAAGAGTTTATTGCCGAGGGCCGGGAGGGTTCCGTTTCATGTAACGAAGCATCTTCGAGCATGCTTCGCTCAGCTTGATCTCTTCGCCAGCGTGGTATCTGGCTTTCTGGCTTGTGAAAAGCGCCTTTTGCTCTTCGTCTTCTCGCTCCATCTCAGCCAAGTTCTTTCCGGCGGCGGCGGCGGCAGGTCTGAAAGCCACGTTTGTGGTGCCTTGCGGCCCACTACGTTGATGAGGCATGGCGGCAGAGGCGAGAGTGGGCGAGGGGCGAGGGGCGAGGGTTGGGGTCGGTGCGTTGCAGCTCGGTCGAGTCCTGGCGACATCGATCGCGTAGTTGGCGCAAGCCATCGACGACCGCCGCATAATCTTGGGCGAGGCCCCTTTGCTCCAGGTAATCCTCCAAGGTTGCATCGTTCAGCAGCGCGAAAGATGTGTCCAGCGCCCGGAGGCTGGCCTCGTCTTCCACTCGAGGTGCTCGCTGCGAGGGGGCGGGAAGGAGGGGGTCGGAGGGGTCGGAGGGGTGCTGAGTTTGCCGAGCTTGATGCTGCTCCGCCTCCTTTTCTTCCCGCAGCTTGACCGAGAGCCGCATGGTATTGCCCTCCGGGCTCCGGAAAACAGTCCCAGCCGACGAGGCCATCTTGCGCGGTTGCTTCCGCCGTTTGTCGTCGCTGCTTGTGGCTGGCAGCCCCCGAAATTGTCTGTCCATGCAGTCCCCGTCAAAGCCCCAGTATCCGATGGTCGCTCGCTTGGGCATGAAGCGCTTAGGGATCCAGCCATAGAACGCTCGCGAGGCGCCAGGCAAGCATTCCTTCGTGTCCAGGGGTTTCTTGGCCTTGTCCTGGTTGCCGACGAGCATCTGAAAGCCTTTTGGGTACAAGTCGGCGAAACCCTTCTTCGGTTCGATGAGCCTTCCGGCCGTATGAGGATCTTTCTCAGGGCCGTCTTGCTGGGCACAGTATGGCTGCCAGTCGGCTCCTGGATCACGTGTAATGGTGATGAACCAGGGATAGACGGAATGCTCCAGCCCCTCGTCAGCCTTGTTGTCTTCGACCATGACGTACACCTTTGCAGGCTCGGGCTTGGGGTCAGAGGGTCGGGGGCGGGTCGGATGGGGGTGGGCATAAAGCCGACTGGCAACGGTGGTAAACGGCGGCTCACCCGAATGGGAAGGCGCCCTGGTGGTCGAACCGAGGGTAAACCTCGTCCGGATATAGAGACCAGACGGGGGGGCCTTCGTCTTCCTTGTCCTCGTCTTTCTTGTCGTTCTTGGAGGGGGCTTCTTCGGCCTCGTCCTCCCAGTATTCTTCGTCGTCGTGCTCAAAAAATGGGAACGGCTCGGCCACCTCGCCCGTGAGGTCCTGCTCGGCTGAGACCGCCCAAGAGTTGTCGACGGCGGCGTTGTCCCAAGACGAGGACGGCTCAGTCACCTCGCCCTTGAGGTCCTGCTCGACTGAAGCCGCCCAGTCTTGCTCCTTGGCAACGTTGCTGGTAGTGTCGTTCATCTGCTTGTGTGTCAGCCATCCAGCACTTGAGTGTTCAGTGGGTAACATACTGTGGTGGTGATGGTGGTGGTAGTGGTGGTAGTGGTGGTGGTGTTGCGGGTGGTGTTGCTGTTGCTGTTGCTGCTGTGGTGGTGGTGGTGGTGGTGATATTTCTGGCATGTCAGAAAGGGGCAAGAAGGGAGAACAAAATTTTGAGCTTCAGTGGGCGGTGAGTCATGGAGAACCAGGCCAAGTGAATACAAGGAAGGAGCGCAAACTTTTCTGATAAGAGAGGAAGGAGCGCGGCCCATGATGTCTTGTTCATGTGCCCACAAGCATTACAACCTCGGAGGTGGCGGACAACTTGAGTACGGCTATCTTTGCGGTCTAATGGCAGGTGCGGCGGCGGCGAGGGCATCTTGTTGAATATGTAGGATTATCAGGGGCGATAAATACATCATCATCACCTCGGAAGTGAACACACGCAAATAAGCTCATACTCGAGGGCTGTTCATGATCAAATGGACATGTTGTGGTCCATTGAAAATTAGCTTCCACTGCCCATATACTGTAACTAAGCATCTGGAAACAGTGAAAAGGGCACATCTTGGTTTAAGGGTTTCCCACTTTCCGCTGTATGTAGCTGTCTCTTTTCAGTACCTATGGCCCCGAGGGATGCCGCTGGGAAGGTAATCTTCCACGCGGCCCCTGATATATATCATCTTCCTAAAGTCCACTTCTTCTACATTGCTTGTAGATTTGAGCTGCCACATGCCGCACAAGGGGTGCCCTCTAACGAGACCGGAAGAGTTGATGGAACCGGATATCCATTGTCATAGGCTTGTGAGCACAAAGCCCTCTGCCAACACAAGGTACCGGAAGTCGACCTACAACAGGCACTGGAGCCAGTCGTAATGAAAAGACATACTTTGTCAAGTTGTCAAGATGCACAATCATAACATCAGAATCTGAATGGCTTGGATCACTTGGGTCGTGGAAGGTCATTGATCACCACGCGCATGCTATTGGCAAATGGTCTTAATGATTGAGAAAGTTTCCGTATTCAGTGGTAATATATCCTAGACTATAACCTCTACTAAGTTTACCTGATGTATTGTAAACATAATCATGTTATGTGATATCTCAACAAGAATACTCGAAGATAATGTGGCTCATCATGAAAGAGGATGAGAGCATAATTTGCAGCATGGTATACATAATAAGGCTTTGGATGTTGAAGTGGTGGGAGACTCCAAGCCCAGTGAGGCGAGAGACTTCAAAGCTGGGTGAAGAGAGAAGCTCCAGGCCCAGTGAGGCGAGAGGCCCCAGGCCCAGTGAGGCGAGAGGCTCCAGAAGCCAAAACTCGAAAAAGACTCGAAGACAGATATGGTGCCTGGCGGCCCAAAACAGGGACTCATGCGGGCGGGCGAGGCTCGGTCGCGAAAACAAGCTGAGTGAGGCGAGAGGCTCCAAAAACCAAAATTTGCACAGTAATCGTAGACAGCAACATGGTGCCTGGCGGCCCATGGCTGGAGCGTATGCTGCCTTGCGGCCCATAGCTGGGACTTATGCGGGCTGGCGAAACCAAGCTGAGTGAGGCAAGAGGCTCCAAAAACCCAAAATCCGAAAAGTACTCGAGGACAGCAACATGGTGCCTGACGGCCCACGGCTGGAGCGAATGTTGCCTTGCGGCCCATGATTGGGGCTTACACAGGCGGGCGAAAAAAGAAACGCAGACGAAGTAGCTACTCCGGATAGCAACGTGTTGCCTGACGGCCCACGGCTGGAACGAGTGATGCCTTGCGGCCCATAACTGGGTCTTATGCGGGCAGGCGAAATGTCGTAGTCGGCAAAATTGTAAAAAGAGGAGAGGAAAGGTGCGTGCCTAGCGGCTTGGTGTTAAGGCGGGCCGAGGCAGTGGGCGTGTTGGGGTCTATGTGCTTCTTGCTTTGGCTATTGAACCAATATTAGGGAACTCCGTGGTTAGGATGGTGATATCTAAGGTATCTGTGATATCTGGGATCCCCTGCTCTCAGGAGCACGTGAACTACGGCTTACCTGATCGCTAAGAGCAGATAGGTATATCTAACTCACGTAGGTAGTAGTAACTCAGAGAAGAAAAGAATTAACTATTATAAGACTTATTAGATACCCTACCTATTTAGAGCTCGTAAATATAGCGGAAGTACTAGATTAGGGTTTATAGAAGCAATAAAGCCCTTTTAATATTAATTAATATTATATTTAATATAATATAGAATAGCTAGAGCTAGAGAAATTAGGATTGATCTTATAAATAATATATTTACTATATATAAGCTTATTAATTACGCTTTATAAGTAATCGTAAAAGTACTATTTTATTTTTAAATACTTTAAGATTCTTATATAAGCTTAATAATAGGGAATTCCTTTATTACGTAATCTATAGGAGTACTATCTATTTTAAATATCTTAGGACTCCTACGACTAAGATTACTACTAAGCTATATCGCTAACTATAAAACCCGAAAAACGAAGCTAAACGGAATAATTAACTATTTATATTAAAGCTTTATAAACTTAATAATAATAAGCTCTTTAGATTATAATAATAGCTCTATAATAGAGCTAGAGAGCGCTAAAAAACTATAATAAGAGTTTAATATTATTCTAAAGGATATTAATATTATATGCTTTATTTAAAGGGTTAAGAAGGATCTTAATATCGATTTTATTATAAATAGCTGTAACGCCCCAGCCCGGTCGTCACCAGGACACCAGGCAGGACACCCCGCAGGCGATCGGACGCGCCGCACGGACCCACAGGATCACTCACGTGACCGTGACCAGATCACGATTCTCAAAGTGATCCGGTCACTAACCACACCGTGACCCAAGCAACAGGATCACGACAAGAAAGGTGAGCCATCCAACATGGACTCACCAACCCAACACGACAAGGACAGAATGACAGGTATATAAGGACGGGCATTCGGTACTTGTAGATACATTCTTTCTCACGACAGTGATCAATCTAAGTCTTACCTTGTATCCATTGTAACGAGTGCGCAACGCCTTACGACACCACATCGTCTCAGAGTCACAACCTAAGCTTCTGCAAACAGCAACCCTAACCCTCTGACAGTGTTCCCCCTTCGGAAGCTGCCAGGTCGTAACATTTTGATCACTCTTGTTCAGTAGGTTTACCTTGTGACACTGAGCAATACTTACCACAGGAACAATGTCCACCAACAGCGTCGGAAACAGCGCCAGCAACTTGGCCGCTATGATCCAGGAGCTCCGTTCGGAGAACGAACAGCTCCGAGCCTCAATGCAACAACTTCAAGGCGGAACGAGCATGAAGGCTCTTCCCCCTCAGTCATTCGACGGCAACCCTAGGGCACTTCAGTCTTTCATCACCCAGGTACGCCAGTACCACAAAGCCAATGAGGGCCAACTTAAGTACTGGGGCGAGAAGGTCGCCAACGCCTCCTCTTACCTCAAAGGGGACGCCTTGCACTGGTTCGAACCCTTCATTAGGGACTATTCCACCCACACCAAGAAAGAAGATATGAAGCAGGCCACCCAGGACATCTACGCAGGTATGAACGCATTCGAAGAAGCCATTAAAGGAGCGTTTGGGGACGTGGACGAGGAACGACAAAACGAAAGAAAAATCCTTCAGCTCAAACAGACCGGGCCAGCCACTAAGTACGCCACGGAGTTTCGACTCTTAGCCAGTCGACTCGATTGGACAGAGTCCGCTCTCATGGCCCGTTTCTACGAAGGACTCAAAGACGCCGTCAAGGACGACCTCATCCGGGAGGATAGACCCGAAACCCTCACCGAGTACATCGCCATGGCCGTCAAAATCGACGATCGCCAGTACGAACGCAGAATAGAAAAGGGACGAAAGCCCGCTATAGGACCATGGAACCCTCGCATTCCCCACCACCGATCCAATCAAGGACGCAAGTACCAGCACGACAAACCCCGCGTCAGCACGGCTTGGGGACAGACCACCCATGCAGGACCCATGGAGCTCGACAATACCAGACATGGCAAACCGAAGGATCTCAAGGACATGAAATGCTACAACTGCGGCAAAAACGGGCATATGGCTCGAGAATGCCGGCAACCTAAGAAGCCCTGGAAACCCGTAAACGAACGACAGCTCAACCATACTCAACACCAGGACCATGCCAAAACTAACTGGACCTTCTGTTACCAGGACGATTGCCTGACCCACAAAGACAGTAAGGAACAGAATGGATGGTTCCCCAGGGCACCTACGGGACAAAGAACCCTGGCCATGATGGTCACCACCAGGAAGGAAAGACGAATTCAGAAATGGGCCCAGCAAGTAACGCCGGAGACCCAGGAAATCGATACAGACGAAGAAAGGGCTTATGAACAAGCTCACCCGGAACCACAGGCCGCACTCCACGTTGGACTTATGAGCAACGAGGAATGGGACGAATACACGCAAGCAAGCCAGGAGGAGGAACCCCCGTTGGGACAACTTCAACTCCACATCCCAACACAGACCTACGCCGTTAGCAACCCTAGTGAGGATTACGATCCCCTTGTACCGTGGGACGAACTCATCTACTACGGGACCAAGCCATGGAAGGCCAGCGCCCGAAAGCAAGAAAGCACGAAAGAAAACGTACGACTCATGGTAGGAGACCATCCAGCACTCCACCACGCCCACGAACAACACTATCAGTTGTTTTGGCCCGAATGTGTCTACGACGACTGCGAATATCATTTCAAAGAGAAAGCCGCGCACCGGTTTCTCCCGCGCAACCACTGGACCGAGCCACGAGTAACGGTAGAGTTCGAACAGGAAAGTCGCAAATGGATCCTACACATGGACGAATACAGTCAAGGTCGGCTCACGTTCCGACCAGACCCCGCTTATCACGACAAATGCTACCAAGACCATGCCAGATGGGAGGACTGCGATAATGACGCGTGCATAAAGCACTATATGGCCAAGGCCAGAGATTGGAGGCTTCACCGTATGAAACACGTCAAGAAGCCACTCTTCAGGGTCCATTATAAGGACGACGACAACCTCGACCCAAGCAATCTAAACACAACGTGGCCACCTACCACGCCGCCGCCTTCGGGAAAAGGCAAGCGTCGGTCGGACAGGGACAACGACCGACGAAGGAAGTAAGAGCGATCTGCTCAGCCGAACGAACCCACGGCACGAATCACCTCTACGTGAGAATAAACGTAGGAGGACGATGGGCAAGCGCGCTACTAGACAGCGGCGCCCAGGGCAACTACATGAGCCCCGAATACATCAACAAGAATAAGATCACATGGAAATATAAGGAGGAACCCTATCAACTCAGCACGGTGGAAGGACAAGCGGTCTCATACGGAGGAGGGATCGTGAACACGGAGACTGCGCCCCTCCAGTGT